CCCAACTACAGCTCATGGAACCCTGTGGGTCCTGGACGCCCATTTGAGAACCTTTGGTTTAGGTTACGTTTGAAGTCAACCACTCAAAAAATATTTTTTTCCTCTGGAAAAAGTACTGGGAAATACATTTATTAGTTAAACAGAAATTAATACTCAAATTTTATTTTTCTTTCTTTTCCACAAGAAGAAAATGTTATTTTTGTGGACTGTAAAGCTGAAATAAATATATCTAAATGGGTAGATTATTCTTAAAACTACCAGGAAAAATGTATTTTTCTGGTAATATATATTTATTTGTTCTGATATTTTTTTTCAACCTATCCTTTTTTAGGTTGTTGTAGCTGTACAGTTATTTTTGGGACRTCTCAAAGTAAGTGTGTATTTTTCTCAATAATGCAGTAAATGGTAAAGCTCAGTTTTCCCAAGTCTCAAAAGTAAGTCATGCAAAGAAGCTTCTAAAGTACACCCTCTTCCAAAAACTCCTGCATCTCTCCTCAGTTCCTAAATGTTCAGATTGTTTAAAGAAGAGGAGATGTTTTACTGAGAAAAACATGGTCCTATAACTTCTTTGAGATGTGCTGCTATCAACATTATTTTACATTTGTCAAAAATAACGACACAACTTTCCAGTTTAAATAATTGATCTGCTTATTTGTTTTCCTTTGTGATTAGTTATGAGATTTGCAAACTGTTGTGTCATTTTAGTTACATTTTACACAACAATTTAACTTTTTGCCAACAGACAAACAGGGTCTATTCCAACAGTCGATGCTAACGCTTTAAACAAATATCGTAGAGTATGTGATGTGAATGACTCTCAGCTATATTTACAAAACAGAAAATGTTATAGCAATATCTGGAGCCAGTTCAAGATGGCCACCACAACCAACTGATCATTGGTTCAGGGGATATTTTGCTAACAGCCATAAAGACACAGGCTGTTAGACCACCACTGAGTGATGAAGCTTCAGAGCGCCCCCTTGTGTTCACTGAGGGTATAACTGTTGCTTCACCCCCTCCACAGGCCCACTCTGCTCCCTGCCAGCAGATGGACAATTCCCACTCACCTCTTAAATAAAGTAGATTTTCTCTAATGATGATGTCAACTAATAGATGACAAGCTGGAAGTTAATGAAATCATTGCAAAGTAAAACCCTTCATTTTTAATTTTTTTTAGTCAATTTATTGATATTTTCCCCTTTTTTTGTTTTCAACTTTAACCTTTAGCCATCTTTCAAGAATTGGTGGACATTTTGAACTTTGTCTCAGTTTGGATATTTGTGTACCTTTTTTTTAGGTTATTTGACCATTTATTTAAAATAAATTCAATTTTTTTATTTCAGTCTTTTATTTTGTCTTTTGTCTCCCAGCTCTTGGCAGAACAGTTTTATTTTTGTGATCTTTTCTCAACATCTTATTGTTAACATATTTAATTTTTTTGAGTGTGTGTTTGTCTTAGATACGTTGCAGCATTTTGAAGAAGTCCTTACTAAGTTTGTGGTCACAATGTAGTTCTCTATGATACTTTTTCATCTGGTTTTACACCAAATAAAAATAACAGCTGCTGCTTCTCACAGTAAATGTCAAATAATGTCTGACCTCTCTGCTGAACTTACACACTGTCTTTATGCCATAACTGAGACCAGACTGCCTGATGGATGGGTTAATTACAAGCTGCCTGGGAAACTCAAAAGACGAGGTCAAGTAAATACGCTCAGTGATGTAAGGAGACAAGTATTTCAAACATGCAACACAAGATCCAGAGCAATTTCTTAGGAATTCTTCTGACCGAACCCAGACGTTTGAGTCAGATTTAGAGTTTTATTTATCACATCAGGTTTGAGCTTGTCTGGTGCTTTTGTACAAGATAAAAGCTTCACCTCAGAAAAGTTTAGGACTGTCAGACTGCCCTTTTTTAACTCTTAGGATTTGCCTGGAGAAAAAGAGCTGCAGACACAGAAGGTTAACACAACCCAGATATGACAATCACATCACTTTCAGTGTCTGAGTCACAGTTTTTAATTAGTCAGTAACCCTGTGAGATTCATTTTATAGTGACAGAAACAGAACTTTGATGTTTAATATGCTAAAGAAAACAAACATGTCTTTACTAATTAAAATGACATCATACCTATTTTTGGACTATCAGCTTTTTTCTGTTTTAGTGAGTTTGTGTTTTCAGTCTTAAATGACTTTAAAACAGTAAATATGAGTCTAATGACACATAATATTAATTTTGATTATTGGTACATCTATTAAATATTTAACTTAGATTTAAAGTGAGCCCTGTTAAGCTTTTATCATTGAGTAAATTAATCTGAAAGGTCGAACACAGTGTTTAATGTGTTGTTTGCAGTGCGCTCTTCCGGCCGCTGGGTGGCGCTGCAGAAACACGAAGCCCCCTTGGCCTGAATCCTGACCAGTGCACTTCCGGTCGGCGCTAAAGCGTGCTGCTGCTGGGTTTGTGAAGCTCAAACGTAACCGTGACGAAAAGACTTCAACCTTTTGATTTTGCGAATTATAACTCTTTAATTTAAATAAAAAATGGTGAGTACGAGTTGTAACAACTGCCTTCAGTTCGACGAAAAATGCGTAATATTTTTTGTGGAATCCATTTTGTTTCGGATTAGCATTGTTAGCTTCTCATTCATAACTGTGCTAAGTCTTCACGAATTTTCAGACATTTCCTATATTTTCTCAATGAAAATATCCGATATTTTCTACTTTTATGTGTTTATATCTGACTTCATCCCGCCTGTAAGCGTTTATGTAGACATTTATTGTTTAAGTTTAGTGGTTTTACTTGTGAATGTTTACTTTGACTAAAAGGTTTTGAGTTTCAGAGCTTTAAACGATCTTAAGAAACTATAGTCAAACAAATTAAACAGCTGAGAGCTAAAGTAAAGGTAGAAAAGTCAGAAATGATGTGTGTGATCTTAAATGTCTTTTGTGAACCCAGAAAATAAATTTAAAAAACTTACAGCAGGTGCAATTTGAGCACATTTAAATATATTAAACACATAACAGCTTTAGAAAGAAAAACTCACCTGTAATCTTTTCATATTTTGCACATTTTTACATGTGAATGTTCTACTTCTGCACATTTTTTTCTTCCTCTGTTCTTGATGTTTGGTAAACAACATACTTTCATTGTGATAATCCACAGTTGTAACACTGTTTTTGTTTGTGTGTTGTGTAAACTTGTGCAGTAAACCTGATTTTATTCTAAAGCTTTAAGAAAACAAGCAGTCAAGCTAATATAAAAGAGGCTTTAGTTTGCTCTGATGAAACATAATGTATGGATGTTGGTGGTATTTTTGATTTATTGATTGATTTATTGTATCATTTGCAGAGTTTACCGCTCAACCCAAAGCCTTTCCTGAACGGTCTGACAGGAAAACCTGTGATGGTGAAGCTGAAGTGGGGGATGGAGTACAAAGGCTACCTGGTGTCTGTGGATGGATACATGAACATGCAGGTGGGAATCGTTTCTGCTCCGTCCACTTCAGAATATCATTTAATAATATTCACCTTTTATATTATATTGCGATGTCTCGGTTTCGGATGGAGGACGGTTGGAAACTGGCGTGTATCGTAAGCYCACCCACACAGACCAGTATTTGCGTTTTGACTCCCACCACCCACTGGAACACAAGTTAAGAGTGATCATGACTCTGTACCACAGAGCAGACAGTGTCCCTACAAACCCAGGAGCCAGGGAGAAAGAGAAATCACACACAGGACAGGCCCTGGAGCAGTGTGGTTATCCTGGACTGGGCTTTCCTGAAAGCAGACAGGAAACACAGACAGGACTCCATGCAACCTTCAGGTGAAAATGAAGACCCCAAACCCAGACCCAAACCAGTGGTTATTCCGTATGTTGCGGGTGTTTCGGAGAAACTGAGATGTTTATTTTCTAAACATGATGTCCCAGTGGCTTTCAAACCCCAAAACACATTACGGCAAAGGCTGGTTCACCCCAAAGATCCGGTGCCCCGGCACAAACAGAGCAATGTTGTATATGCTGTTAAGTGCCAGGAGGACTGCGACCAGTTATACATCGGGGAAACAAAGCAGCCACTGTTCAAAAGAATGTCCCAACACAGACGAGCTACATCTAATGGCCAGAACTCTGCAGTTTTCACTCATTTACAGGCCAGCGGTCACTCTTTCAGAGATGAGGATGTTCTCATTCTTGATAGAGAGGAACGTTGGTTTGAGAGAGGAGTAAAAGAAGCCATTTTTGTGAAGAAAGACCGTCCATCATTAAACAGAGGTGGAGGCCTCCATTTTCAGTTGTCCCCCTCCTACAGTGCTGCTATTGCCAGTATCACTCCACCCCCTGCTAACAATAAGTGTTAATTGGGTGTCAACTGAATTTTGCCTGAAACTCTCAGACTGAAGAAGTCTCTTGGAGGAGAGATGAAACGTTTCATTAGAGAAGAAACGGTCCAGAGGACCTATACAGTTTTTATTCTTTTTGATTTTTTTTTTACCTGGATTACTGAGATGCATCAGGACAATATTCACCTTAATTTTATACAATTATAAAAACTTAAACAAGGAAACAAGTTGCGTTTTCCAGCATTTGTACAGTTTAAATGAAAGAATATATTGTATTTTATTGTAGTAGCTGCAACTAAGTTTCATACTTCTAAAAATCTTTAAATATGTTAAAATAAGATGCTTTATACCCTCTGTCCTCATTCCAACTACCTCCATGTCCTCTAACTGCATTTTATTTCTTCTTTGTCTTTTACTAAATATTGTTCATCATTAGTAAGCATTTAGTAATTATAAAATGAACAACTGTCGTCCATTTAAACATAGTTTACTTAAACTACTCATCATCTTGATTAAATTTTAAATAAAAAATAATAACAGTTGTAAACTTGTTGTTTGTCTTTGGGTCCAGCAGAGGGCGCTGTGTCTGTTTAACCTACAAGCTTCTTCTGATTTCTTATAAACATGTTTGCTTAAAAATTGGAGGAAACTTCCAGTGCAGCTTCACTGAGAGGACAGTCATGATGATGTATAGAAACATTTTGGATTTTAGAAGTCAGCAAGGCAGATATTTAGTGTTGTCTTGTGATAAACAGCTACAATCCATGGTTTAACTCTCACACTTTAATTGCTTTTATTCTTTAAGCATTTAAAAAGTAAAATGTTCTTCTACCTGATCTCCAACAGCTGGCAAACACAGAGGAGTACGTCGATGGAGCTTTGGCGGGACATCTTGGTGAAGTTCTTATCAGGTATTTAATCACTAAATACTGTATTATTTTATTGCATAAACACATAGTTGAGGTTTTTGGATACATTTTTTGTGACACAACAGAACAAAACAGAGGAAACTGTTAAGATTTTTAACCAACYTTTTGTTAATTACTGSCATGTTTCAAAAGGACGAGTGAAGAAAATGTTTGTGTTTGGTCTGCACAGGTGCAACAATGTTTTATACATCAGAGGTGTAGAAGAGGAGGAGGAAGATGGAGAAATGAGGGAGTGATTCGCTGGTTGGATCTGATTTGTGTTTGTATAGCTCTGCGTGGAGTTAAACTTTGTTTTTGTCATGTGAAGCAATGATTGTTGGGTTTTCTTTTGTTTTTTTTTTCCACGATTTTTTTTTTTCTTTTTGTACCTCGAGACCTGATTTGTTTTGTTGCCAACACAATAAAGTTGTAATATTTCTTAAACCAGGCTTATGATTAGTTTTTTTCTTCCCTCCCCTCTGGGAACCAGGACCGCCCCGCTCTCTGCACTTTAAACTCTGATCTCAGACAAATATTTGCTTTGTGTCTAAACTAGCTGGTTGCTTTTAACATTCGAGAGAGAGAAATGAGCAGAAACAGACTTTTAGTTAAAAACGCCAAACAGGTGGTTTTAATCTGCAACAACGGAGAAAAGTACCTGACCAGGCACGGCATGAACGGACTGTGTGTGATTGAGAATGGCAGCATTGTCATTGGAAGGTAAGATTAAAGAAATTAAATTTTAAATGTTAGAACAAAGCTACTGGTAGTTGTTAGAATTTATTAATTTTTTTACATTTATCCACATGCAGATGTTAAAATGTTTTTTCTAACTCTTCAATCTGGCGCACTCTTGAGGATAAAACGACTAATTACATCTAAGATTGAAGCTTTTTTAAATCTGATTTTTCTCTATTTATGATGCATTTTTAAACCATCATTAGTTTCAGTGCACTTTATAGTGATTTATCTCTGCAGTGATGGTCTGATTAAAGCTGTGGGTCCTGCAGAGACCATCAGAGCTCAGTATTCAGACGCCTCCTTTGAGCGAGTCATTGATGCTGCAGATATGTGTGTCCTGCCCGGTGAGTAGCTGCTGAATTTTTCCCCCCTAAAACAATCATATTTTATTTGAAATACTCCATAAACTGCCTTTCTCATTTATCAGGGCTGGTTGATGCTCACACCCATCCAGTGTGGGCAGGAGACAGAGTGCACGAGTTTGCGATGAAGGTAACTTATTTAGTATTCAGTCTGCAGCTTTATCTCAATAAATACAGTGGGGAGAACAAGTATTTGATACACTGTTTTTTTCAGGTTTTCCCACTTGCAAAGCTTGTAGATGACTGTAATTTTTATCATAGGTACTCTTCAACTGTGAGTGATGGAATCTAAAACAAAAATCCAGAAAAATACAATGTATGATTTTTAAATAATTAATTTCCATTTTATTGTGTGAAATAAGTATTTGATCATCTATCAACCAGTAAGAATTTTGGCTCTCACAGACATGTTAGTTCTTCTTTAAGAAGCCCCCCTGTTCTCCACTCATTACCTGTATTAACTGCACCTGTTTGAACTCGTTACCTGTATAAAAGACACCTGTCCACATACTCAATCAATCAGACTCCAGCATCTCCACAATGCCCAAGACCAGAGAGCTGTGTAAGGACATCAGGGATAAAATTGTAGACCTGCACAAGGCTGGGATGGGCTACAGGACAATAGGCAAGCAGCTTGGTGAGAAGGCAACAACAGTTGGTGCAATTATTAGAAAATGGAAGAAATACAAACTAACAGAAAATCTCCCTCGGTCTGGGGCGCCATGCAAGATCTCACCTCGTGGAGCATCACTGATCTTGAGGAAGGTGAGGAATGAGCCCAGAACTACACGGCAGGACCTGGTCAATGACCTGAATAGAGCTGGGACCACAGTCTCAAAGAAAACAATCAGTAACACTCTACGCCGTCAAGGATTAAAATCCTGCAGTGCACGCAAGGTGCCCTTCCTCAAGCCAACGCATGTCRAAGCCCGTGTGATGTTTGCAAATGACCATCTGAATGATCCAGAGGAGGAAYGGGAGAAGGTCATGTGGTCTGATGAGACAAAAATAGAACTTTTTGGTTTAAACTCCACTCGTCATGTTTGGAGGAAGAAGAATGATGAGTACAACCCCAAGAACACCATCCCAACCGTGAAGCATGGCAGTGGAAACATCATTCTTTGGGGATGCTTTTCTGCAAAGGGGACAGGACTACTGCACCATATTGTGGGAAGGATGGATGGGGCCATGTATCGTGAGATTTTGGCCAACAACCTCCTTCCCTCAGTAAGAGCACTGAAGATGGGTCGTGGCTGGGTCTTCCAGCAAGATAATGACCCAAAACACACAGCCAGGGCAACTAAAGAGTGGCTCCGTAGGAAACATCTTAAGGTCCTGGAGTGGCCTAGCCAGTCTCCAGACCTGAATCCAATAGAAAATCTTTGGAGGGAGCTTAAAGTCCGTGTGGCCCAGCGACAGCCCCGAAACCTGAAGGCTCTGGAGGAGATCTGTATGGAGGAGTGGGCCAAAATCCCTGCTGCAGTGTGTGCAAACCTGGTCAAGAACTACAGGAAATGTCTGATCTCTGTAATTGCAAACAAAGGTTTCTGTACCAAATAAGTTTCATTTTTCTGGTGTATCAAATACTTATGTCACACAATAAAATGGAAATTAATTATTTAAAAATCAAACATTGTATTTTTCTGGATTTTTGTTTTAGATTCCATCACTCACAGTTGAAGAGTACCTATGATAAAAATTACAGTCATCTACAAGCTTTGCAAGTGGGAAAACCTGAAAAATCAACAGTGTATCAAATACTTGTTCTCCCCACTGTAATGTGCTGCAGCTGGCAGGTGCCTCCTACATGGACGTGCATCGGGCCGGAGGGGGGATCCACTTCACGGTTGAACACACTCGAGCCGCCGCGGCCTCGGACCTCCTGGCCTCCCTGAGGAGCAGGCTGGTGCGGATGCAGCGGGCCGGGACCACCCTGGTGGAGTGTAAAAGTGGCTACGGCCTGGAGCTGCACACTGAGGTGAAGATGCTGGAGGTGCTGGAGGAGGCGAGACGCTCTCTGCCCATCAACATCTCCTCGACCTACTGTGGAGCTCACGCAGTGCCCAGGTAGGAACCAGTACTTCAGTGTTTCAGAACGTCTGCAGGATTTCAGGTGGAGTTTTTGTACCTCAGAGGGAAGACAGTGACAGAAGCCACCGAGGACGTCCTCCGTGTTCAGCTGCCGCACCTGAAGGAGCTGATGTCTGCGGGGAAACTTCGAGTGGACAACATAGACGTGTTCTGCGAGCAGGGAGTGTTTGACCTGGACTCGACCCGCTCTATCCTGCAGGCTGGCAAAGACATGGGCCTCAACATCAACTTCCACGGAGACGAGCTCCACCCCATGAAGTCTGCAGAGGTACGGCTCACAGTTAACGTCAAATACCCAGATCAGGTTTAAAGATGAATGAGATGATGCTGCTTTCAGGTACATCAAAATGATTAGAAAGTTCTTTGATAACCAGAGGAGGATAGTGACAAAGTACATTTACTTTGTTGCAGTACTTGAGTCATTTTGAGGATTTTTATTGTATTTTGTTACATTCAGAATATGCAAATTATACTTGTTTACTGTAAAATAACACCTGATTATGCACAATAAATTTAAATGTGACTGAACTCTGCATGAAACCAGCTGTTGATGCACTCTAAAAAAATTGTTTTTAATTTATTTAATCAAGTTGTCACCTGGATCCACGTAACAGTAAATAAAGTATTACATACATATTAAGTGAATTCAACACTTCATTTCTTAGTGTGTAAAAGTACTTTTACTTTTCCAATTATTGAGTGCAGTTTTATGACTTGCTTAAAGTGCCTGTGACATCAAATTTTTGAAATAAACATGAATGCGTTTTTGGAAAGGTAACATTGACAACATATTACAAAACAAATTTGACATCACTGAGATGAACGGTTGTTGAGATATTTGCATGTGAAGTAACAGGAAGTGATGTCAAAGGGGAATGTTAGCATGTAAACAGAGGTTTGTTGCAAAAGCTAACAAACCAGACTGTAGAGAAGAATCTGTTGTTTCTTTACATTATTTTTAGTCACTATCAAAGAGAGACAGAAAAGTTAAAGTTTAAATAATTTTGTTTTAATAAACAGAGACCAGAGTTTATTTTATTAATGAGTTCCCTTTTCATGTCACTTCCTGTTTCACTTTAGCTGGGCCAAATTTAAAATAGGCCAGTTATGTGACAAAATGTGTACTATGCCAATTTTCTAAAGTATTAATATGTTTTCTTTGAGTTTTTGTATTTGAAGTATAGGCATGTCACAGACACTTTAAGTACTTCTTTTTTACTAGTCATTTTCTATTGAGGTATTTTTAATGTTTTAAGTACTTTATATACCTCTGTTTAACATATGATTGGTCTAGGCTCTAGCATGAAATGTTACACCTGTGATATTTTGTTTGTACAAAAAACTCAGTTATTTTAATTCAGAAGGTAACACCAGACAATGTTTATTTTTTATTCAATAAAAAGTATTAGTTGTGTCAATGTAAAATCAGTAAATGTCTGTGACACAGATGGGGGCGGAGCTTGGAGCTTTGGCCATCAGTCATCTTGAAGAAATCACAGATGCAGGAATTGTTGCCATGGCCAAAGCAAAAACTGCTGCTGTTCTTCTGCCGACCACAGCTTACATCCTCCGGTACGACAACACACACTCTGACATAAATACTCCTACACACAAACACACACATTGTGACTGTGTGTGTGTGTGTGTTTAGACTCCCTCAGCCTCGAACCAGAGACCTGCTGGATTCAGGGGTAATCGTCGCCCTCGGCAGCGACTTCAACCCCAACGCTTACTGCTGCTCCATGGTGAGTCCAGCAGGGTTACCATCTGTTTACCCCACTCTGTTTGTTTATTTATTGTTTGTGTCAGCCTATAGTGATGCACCTGGCCTGTGTCAACATGAGGATGACCATGTCTGAGGCTTTGGCTGCAGCGACCATCAACGCAGCGTTTGCCCTCGGCCGCTCTCACACACACGGATCTCTGGAGGTCAACAAACATGGAGACCTGCTGCTCCTCAGCGCCACACGGTAAACAAACACGTTCAGGACTCGTTAGAGGAAGAGAGAATGATTGGGTGGCTTTCATCTGTAAATGAGTTAGTGTGAGCTGTAAACCTAACTGTCCAACACTTAAACATTTCTTTACCTTTTACAAGTCATGATGAGTAATTCTGCTTTGCTTGTTTTGAGATGGGAGCACCTGATCTACCAGCTGGGAGGACACCAGGAGCTGATTCGTTACGTCGTCATCAAAGGCAACGTCGTCTACGACAATGACAAAACCCTGGATCTGTGACTCCGGTGAGTGAAGCTGCTCACAAATAAAACTTGAACAGTTTTGTCTGGAAATATAAAAAGCTTTAAAAAAAAGAGTAGCACTGATTTTCATGAAGAACTTCACTTTTATTGAACTTGTTAGTCAATCAATATATTTTGACAAGGCAATAACTGTGGAGTAAATAAAATCATAGGAAATGTTAAGCTATTCACAAAATATCTTAGTGCATAGATTAAAAAAGTGACATAATTGACCTTTTAAACACATTTTTATGTACCCATATTTATTTAAAGTCATTTCGACTTTCCATCCATGAAACTTTAACACCCAAACAATAAAAACTGAGACCTCTGCTGTTTAGTTGTATTCTTGTCCTTCTTAACTCCTCTCTTCACGCAGGCTGTTAAAGCTTCTTGAATGGAAAGTGAGAGGTCTTAAACTATCAAAGTGTAGTTGGTTGTGTGTTCTATCCTAGGCGAGTGTTGATGCAAACCAGCAGAAACTTTAGAGAACCTTTCAGGCTTCGTACTTCTTTCCTGCTCTGTGGATTTGCTGATAAAGAGTCATGGAGAAAGCCATACCAAGCAGCTGAAACACAAAATGACTCCTGTTAGTGTTTCCATCAGCAGCACCAAACATCATCTTTCAGGCTAGGCTAACCTGGTTTGAAAGATTGCTACATCCGCTAATATGAAACTTCTACACTTTGAGGATAGCTTGCACCTAAAATTTGCAAACTCTACAACACATTGTGTAGTTTAGAATGAATAAATAAGCTATTGTAACATTTCAACATTAGCCTAGCTTGAACAAAGACCCCTGATTTTTTTTATAAACACACTTATCACAAAAAGTCAATTTGTGTTTGGTGGATTTCCTTCTTATATAAAACAAGTTATTAGAAGCTAAAAATAAGCTGATGAAAAGGTTTTCATGTGCACAACCCACAAATGTGGCACCATTTAAAAGGTAAATTGACAAACTTTCCATCAGTATACAACAAATAAGTAATCTAACAAACGTTATTTATTAACTTACTTTTTGGGCTAAGTTTCTGTGCTGTATGATTGATGTCACAGCTGATAWTATAGTAAAACMCAATCAGCTCACCTGTATGACCAACACACACATGGCAATGGTTCCCAGCAGGTGTCTGTTGTCATCCAGCCATTCTTCTACTTTCTCATAGCAACCCTGAAAACAAACAGTCAAACTGAACTTGTTTGTACAGATTCATGGATCAGTTTTGGGACTAAAGCTAGAAGCATTTCATTCTGTAAGCAACCATGTAAAAGAAAACCCGTTTTTTTTAGATTATGAACATTTAACATAACTTTGACACTCATGCATTTCACCTGCTGAACAGAAGATGTAATCTCATAACTGCATCAACACATCAAGTACTATGAGTGTTTCACTAAATCAAACTTAAAAGTTTTCTCAACCTTTCCTGCAGGTCCTAAACCAGCTCGGTGAGGTTCAAGAAGGAAGATCGTTCTGCTGTCCTCAAAAGAAGCCATTATTTTAGTGGAAATATAATCAAACTGATAAATGTTTGTTTTTAATAAGTGTTTCTTTAAACAATATATCTATTTAACCATACAGTTTTTCTTAGAATTAGGGCTGCAATGATTAGTCGACTTAGTCAACAATAAAAATTGTTGATGAATTTGTCATTATAGTCATTTTTATTACGGATATATATATATATTTTATGGAGTGAGACATCTTGTCCATCTATCTCGGTTACTGGTGATACAACATGGTGTGCAAAACGATCCAAGGTTTGGGACACTTTCAGTCTTGATAAAGGAAAAAAAAAATAAACATATTTGCAAAGTGGACCTTGCATATCATGGAAGAACTTCTGTGATTCACGAGCATTTAAAGAGGCTGCACCTCTGATATCTGGAAGCAGACACGGAGTTGGATGCACCCCGGTAAGATGTGCTAAAGCTAAACAACACACAAGGAGACAACTCGTAGACACTGTTATTTGCAGAAAAAAAAGGTTGCATGTATGACTGCAGAACCAATAACAAAAAATACAACTTTAATTTTTCTTTTAAAGATATACTTTTGGTTTTGAAACAAGTATTTGCAGCTTGCTACAAAATGTTCTGAACTATTTTACTGCTGATAATGTGCCAACTTCGTTTTCCAGGGAAGAAAAAGTGCTTTTTTTTAATGGTTGGAAAAAAGACCGTTAAATTTATATCAGCAGCAAACCTGATAAAGTACAATTTATTTGTTATGGTTGGAAAAATGGACAGTTGCRTTTTTAGCAGCAAACCTGATTACATTTTTTGAATGAAGTACCCATCTTCTGTGTGTTTACTACCACATTTTAAATAAACAAATGGAAAAGCTGATAACTAAATAAGTGCCATTTCATAATTATGTGATTCATAATCTGATTAGATGACTAATCGTTACAATAGTCAGTGACTAGCCTGGTAAAAATCAGACCCCCGTCTTTCACTTTGCTTCATACAAGGGTCTGGACTTGCTGCATAGAGAATCGATTTCTTGCAGGAGGCGTGGCCTCTGCTGAAGCATGTGTGTATTGTCGGTGTGAAGGAGGCTAAGCTAAGAAGCTAACCGGAAATCGTGTGTGCTGTAAACAACCCTACTGAGAGAAGAAATATACCGAGCCAAACGAGACGACTGTAAATGAGAGCTGCTGCTTTGTCAGATAAATTTAATTTGGAAGCCTTATCAACACAGACCGGCTTCATTCACTTCCTTCACTGCTGTATGCTAAATTAACTAGCAGACACTGCGCAGAACATCGACGTCATTCAAAACTCCGCCTTCTGTTTGCTGATTGGCCCAGGTAAAATAAACTACAAGCAGACACTGCGCAGAAAATTGACGTCGTTCAAAACTCCGCCTTCTGTTTGCTGATTGGCCCAGGTAAAATAAACTACAAGAGACTGTGCAGAAAGTAGCTGGGTTTCAGTCACATGGTTTCGAAGGCGGAGCGATCTCCGCTGGAGGGCAGGGGGTAAAATATCTATGGAGGAAACTACTGTAGACAGTCTATAATGTATGGATTTAAGGCCTATTTCAAGATACTGTATATAACAATTTGTTCACAGATATGTCAGACATGACTCGTATGATGAAGATGAATGAGTTTGACAGAACCTAAAGATTTTCTGAGGCTGTTGGTACCACACACGTCTTACATCACCAAGTGCCAAATAATAACCAGCAAAAGTTTAACTGATTAATAATTCCACACGATTCTGCCCAACCTATGACAACATATGATAACACTGAATATCATACACAAAGGTGAAAAATGTAGAAATCTCACAGAACGACAATGTAATAAGTGGATTTTAAACCGTCTGCGGTCAGGAGGAGCAGAATGCCGCCGGTGCCTGCAGCCATCACTTCATTCAGAGGTATGTTAGCTGCTAACTATGAAATATAGTTATACAAATGTAATAAATTTCGGATATCTCATTGCTGACTTCCGATCGCGCTGTCTCCATCGCAGCCGAACTTCATTCAACTTCCACCTTTTTWWATTTTTATCCTCCTGTAGATTTTTTGCTGMTTGTCTAATATTTTCAGGCTTCAGTCAGAAAGGAGTTTGGGGGGGTTTAGGTTTGTTCGGCGGGTTGGGGGTGACACCAGAGGGTGGAATGAGGTGTTTTTTCCCTCATGAATCAGCCCTTTTTTACATCCTCCTGCTGCAACGTGCTTCAAATATGACGAACATTAATAAAAAGAGCCATAATTTTATTTAATTTAATACATAATTTAATCAGTGTATAATTATTTATCATTAATTCAGTTAGAATGATTGGAGCACTCGTAAACTACACAAGATATGGGCATTTTTTCAGATAGCAGATCCTCCACTTTTTCACTTCCTGACCTCCATCCGAACTTCGCGCTCTAGTGGCGCTGCATCGTGACGTCACGTGAAACCCTCCTATTGACGTTCTGTTCTGATTGGTCCGGCTAAAAATCTGCCAGCGAAATCCTTGTCAATGGGAGAAGTCCCAGACGGAGCAGTGAAGGGAAACTAGAATTGAGYGGAGCTGCGTAGGAAGGCAAGGGCCAGGCTAGTCAATGACTAATCGACTACCAAAAGTCATTAGTTGCAGCCCTACTTAGAATCCACASCTGTATTCTATGTAATAAATATTTCTGCTTTAGAGTCTGCGAAATAAACATTTAAACAAAGCTTTGTTTGTTTTTGAACACTTTGCTGTGTTTTAAACATTGCACTGATTCTCTCAGATTTAAAGTATGAAACAGCACCGTGTTAAACTGGATCTTTCCTGACTCACTCGTGTCCAGAAGGTGTTGGAGGCGTTGCGTCCGCAGCCCTGTGAGACCAGCTGGCAGCAGCTGTCAGGAACAGCGTTGTTGTGCAGAGCAGYGTGCCAGTCCTCGTGGGTCATCACCCCACAACACTTCCACTGGGCAGACAGAYGGGTTATTTTTGACCCGGCAGCAGCAGGATGAACATGCGGGGCTGTGTTCTCCGGGGGTTTACCTCTCTCTGGATGGTGTTCCAGGCGTCCCTCAGACCAACGTTGTCGTCTGTGTTGTACAGAGCCAGGCCTTCCTTCAGGTCCCGTCTGGCATTTTCATTCACCTGGAGTGACGGAGGCAGAGTATGTAGGCGCAGTGATAACAATTTTAACAGTTATGAAGACTCCTACCTTGTCCGTGTAGACGAAGAAGAGGATGAGGAGGATAAGTTCAGTCAAAAGTATGATCAACAGGACGATGAAGAACTGGTTTAAAGGAGGAAAGACCCGTATTAGCTTTTTTTTTTTCACTAAAACACTTGCATGATGGGTGATGTAGATTTCTCACACTCAGCAGCAGGCACTTGTTCTCCTTGATGGCACCCAGACAGCCCAGGAACCCCGTCACCATGACCACGGTGCCGAGGGTGATGATGAGGTTGGCTGCGGAGAACGAGGGGAAGGAGGGCGACAGGGTGGCAAAGCTGCCCTGGGAAACTGAAAGCCACACACCAACACCCAACAAACCACATCCTCCCAGCTGAAACACACAGGAAACTGATGAACTGATAATAAAACACTGACTTTAACATGACTTCAACTACATCCACATAAAGTCCTTCAAAATTATATAAACAATAAAATAACACACACTAAAGTCGTCCATGATGATAATAAAATACCACATACTCCGGTAAGAGTCCAAAATTAATAAAAGCACCATAAGTCAGTAAGTCATCCAAAATGATAAAAACCAAAAACTATAGCAGGGGTGGGCAATCCTGGTCCTCGAAGGCCACAGCCCTACATGTTTTACATGTTTCCCTGCTTCAACACACCTGATTCAGTCAATGAACTACCTCTTCATGTTCTGCAGTATGGAGGACCGACACTGACATAATTAGAAATAAAAGCAGAAATAGATAAATTAACCTTTAAATAAATAAATACATTTAAAATGCACCAAATAAATTAAAAAATAACTTTACCTCATGTTTTATAATTTAGTTGACC